TATATATATATATATATATATATATATATATATATATATATATATATATATAGGGCTGGACAACTATTTTACTTATTATATTGAGAGAATAGGTCAGTATCAGCAGGTGAGCATATCTTCAGATTTTCTTTGACTCCCGGTTGCTGTCAGTTATTATATTATCTGTTCAATTTTAGCTTTCAGTATATTGCCTTACATACTCGGTACATTATTTCGTACTGACGTCCCTTGGGGGAGCTGCATTTCATGTGTGGAGGTTCAGACAGACAGACGGGTAGACCTCCTTAGTAGGTGTTTCCCGAATTCAGCTTTATCGGTAAGCTCCCCGTCCTTCGGAGTTGCCGGGTCTAGAAGTTTGGTGTACATCTTGTACATAAATGTAGATAGGTTATGGGTAGGTCGGGGCACTGTTCCGATCGCAGTACATCTATCAATAGAGGCTTCTAGACATATCCTGTCAGTTAGTGAAGTTTGTTGGGCTTGTAGGCCCTATACGTATATTTTGTTGGCTTGTCAGTTGTAGTAATTATGATGGCCCTGTCGGCCCAGCTGTATGTTGACATTTAGTCAGTGTTAGTCTCTATGCAGTATTACATTTTGCATCGCACATTATCTTGCAATGTGGCACATGGCCGAAGTATGACAGTACATATCAGAGTCTCTTATTCGCAAGTGTTACGCAAGAATAGGTGAGGCACTGTGTGCCAGTCTCGCCCTCAGGCTCGGGGTGTGACAGCTATAGCACACAAAAATATGGGAATCGGACAGAATTTCAATCTTATGGCCGTAAAATGCCAAAAAATATAATTTGGTCATGGCGGGGCTGTGACTATGGTTCCTTAGGTCGTATTTGATGCCATGGGAAAATATTACGCGATACGAGGTCCCGGGTCCTCGGCGGAAGGCGTGGGCTATATCACACGAAAATATGGGAATCAAGCGGAATTCCAAATTTTTTGCCTTAAAACGCCAAAATATGTAATTTGGTCATGGAGGGGCAGTGACTATGGTTTATTAGGTCGTATCCCGCAGAAAAATATTACGCGATCCGGGTAAGGGGTCTGGGCCCATGGCGGAAGGCGTGGACTATAGCACACAAAAATATGGGAATCGTGCGGAATTCCAATTTTATGGGCGTAAAATACCAAAAAATATAATTTGGTCATGGCGGGGTGGTGATTATAGTTCCTTAGGTTGTATTTGATACAAAAAATTATATCACGCGATCCGGGTCTGGGGACCGGGGCCCACCGCGTAAGGTGTGGGCTATACAAAATGAAAATATGAAAATCGGGTGAAATTCTAGTTTTATGGCCGTAAAACGCCAAAAAATATAATTTTGTCATGGCCTGGCTGTGACTATGGTTCCTTAGGTTATATTTGATGCAACGGAAAAATATTACACAATCCGGGTCCGGGGCCCCAGGCTCACGGCGTAAGGCATGGGCTAAAGCACACGAAAATATGGGACTCGGGTGGAATTCCAGTTTTACGGTCGTAAAATACCAAAAAATGTAATTTGGTCATGGAGGGGCGGTGACTATGTTTCGTTAGGTCGTATTTGATGCCACAGAAAAATATTACGCGATACGGGAGCCCGGGGGCGTGGGCCATAGCACACGAAAATATTGGAATCGGGCGGAATTCAAGTTTTATGGGCGTAAAACGCCAAAAATTGTAACTTTGTCATGTTGGGTGGTTACTTTGGTTCCTTAGGTCGTATTTGATCCAACAAAACATTAGGCGATCCTTGAAAAACGCAGGGGATACGTACCAACGCCTAGTTAATAAAATATTCGAGCATCAAATAGGCAAATCCATGGAAGTTTATATTGATGACATGCTAGTTAAGTCCCTGCGCGCAGAGGACCATTTGACTCATTTGCAGGAAGCATTCGACATCCTCAGAAGTTACAACATGAAGCTTAACCCCGAGAAATGTGCCTTCGGAGTGGGTTCTGCAAATTCTTAGGCTTCATGGTATCGAACAGGGGGATCGAGATCAACCGTGACAAAATCAAGGCCGTCGAAGAAATCACGGTGGTAAATAATGTAAAGGACGTGCAACGACTTACAGGGCGAATAGCGACTCTAGGCAGATTCATATCAAGGTCGTCGGACAGGAGGCATCATTTCTTCTCTTTAATCAAAAAGAAAACAACTTCGAGTGGACCCCAGAATTCCAACACA